TACACTTTATAATATATTGATTAAAAATTATTATTTTCAAAATTGAATTTATGGTGAGAATCATTTCATTTGCAAAATTTAATGGTTAAATCAATGGTGCTTGCAAGTGTACTGAATCGAAAAGTATACTAATCATTATCAAATTGATTTAAAACCTAAAAATAAAGATTATATAGTTTTTAAGTTGTAAATTTGACTCTCATGTAGAATAAGTTTTCTTTAAATTTTTTCTAATTTATATATACTATATTTGAACGAACAAATTTGTAGTGTAGAGAGCCTTTGTATTATACTTTTGTTAAAAAAAGGAACAAATTAAATTCAGACTAGTTATTTAGTTATTTATCTTTAATTTTGTGTAAGAGTATAGAAGATATACATATATATATATATATATATATATCTAAAGATTGAAATATATCTCATCAATGTGGTAGCAATGTAATTATGCTTGAGTGCATAATGATGTTCTCATGATGATAACACATAATAAACAATAGAATTTCAATATGGTGGACAATGTTTTAGGTAGCATTCTAAATCCGAAATCGATTTTTATGATGGACATGCATTACAATTTCATCCATATCCCTCCAAAGCTTGAATGCTTGGTCCTAGAATCCCAACGTGGACCACTATGGCACTATCCCTATCAAACCATGACACATGACACATTACATTTCTTTTGAACCAGAATTTGTTCGTGTTGGGTGCCATTTTGAAGATGACTCTCTCTAACCTTATCTTTTCACTCTTTATAATGGGGTCTTAGTATAAAAATCAACATGCAACTCTTTTGGATGGGATGCCAGAATTTGTTCCTTTGACGAAGTGCTTATGCCTACTATAACAGTTTGAAAATTGACATGCATGTATGATCAATATAAATAGAATTTATAATTCAATAACTAATTTTTAAAAATATTAATTAGAAAAATGAGATTTTGATAGGTCTTCAAAAAAATTAAAAATTTTTTTTTATGAGAACTGGCCATCTACAAATGTCATATATATATATATATGAGTAAGAATCCACTTACACACAATCTTACATATCACGCTTATACAAAATCTCAATCATTCATCTTTTACTTTCAATAGTTGAGATTTTTTACTTTCAATAAGTTGAGATTTATCACGACATTTTAGATAAAAAAATATATTTATCTTTAATAAATATGAATAAATCTTAATCATTGATAGAAAAGAGATGAATGTTGAGATTTTATGTAAGTGTTTTGGATATGATTTGGTGTGTAAAGTGATTCTGACTATATATATAAGGAAAAGTACATATCTGTCTTAACTAAAAAAAAATTAGAGTCATAATCTTAAATAACATTATTTTATTTAATTAAAATATAATATAAAATTCAAAATACACCTTATAAAATGTTAATATATGGATTTTAATATAATCGATTTCTAAATCTATATATTCATATTCAATAAGGTGAATTCTTAAATTTAAATTGGATTTTTATTTTCAAATGTAAAAATCAACATTTAGTAAGATGAATTTTAAATTTTAAATTTTAATTAAATGAAATAATATTATTTAAGATTAAAACTCTAATATTTTTATAAAAAAAAAAAAACTAAGACTGATTTGCACTATTTTCATATATATATATATATATATTTATAACAGTCAGTGTTATCTCAGCACATGGTCATCGTCACACGCAAAAATATAACATTACAAACTTCTAATATTGTTCTTAAAAAGATTATGTTTAATATAAGGTTAAAGTAGTACATAAGGACTTGAACTTACATCAAATTCATAATTCAGATCCTAAAATTTTATTGCCTCAATTAAGGTCCTAAAGTTGTCAAAATTTTCAAATAAGATTTCAATTGAATGAAACCATTAGGTCTGTTAAACCAATTGTTAACTCCATTAAATCTAACTAGTTAAATAAGAAATAGTTTCTAGACTTTTAATTTTATCTTTCAAAAACCCTAAAACTTTCAAAAACCTCAAAAAGCTCTTTTTTCTTTTTGTTTATGAGAATTTTTGTGAGAGCCACAACGAAAAAATCTTGTTGTATGCAGGCCTCAATTTTTTGTTATTTTTTTCATGAATGAATCTACCTTGCAAATATGTGGAACCCACCTAAAAATTTTGTTATAGTAAAAAAAACTCAAAATTTTTGTTAATGATTAATTAACTTTTTAATGAATCATTTAAAGGATAATCAGTAAATTTTTTCAGATAATTAAAATTAATTTTAATTATGGTCCCCCCAAAATTTTCCATATAAACAAAAAAAAATTAATTTAAGGAGTTTTGAGATTATTGAAAGTTATAGGGTTATTGAAAACTAACATTAAAAGTCTAGGGACTGCTTTTGTTATTTATCTAGTTAAATTTAAGTGTTAACAAACGATTTAATAGGCCTAACAGTTTCATCTAATTAGGATTTTATTTGAGAATTTTGACAACTTTAGGACTTTAATTGAGCATAATAAAACTTTGAGACTTTGATACTTTTTCTATTTATAGGGCGAAGATGGGACCAACAGACACAAGAATGGAGAAAGGTGGTGGTTGAAGAATAGAAATGGCTTCCGTTTTTTGTTTTGGGTTGAAAAAAGGCCTTTTTATTTGTTTTATTAATGAACGGAGATGGAGAGATGATAACCCTATAGGTACTAGTTGCCTGAGGAGGAAAAACTCTGCCATATGGCATCCATGTGGATTAAATTTAAGTCAAGTCAGGATATTTAAAAATATAACAAATAGTAGCGACATTTGACATACGATTAAATTTTCATCCAATTGGGGCTTTAATTGAGAACTTTTGTAGCTTGAGAATTTAATTGAGCATAATTGAAGTTTGAGTTTAGAATTGTAAATTTTGTGCAAGTTTGGGTCCTTGTTCCCTACTTTTGCCAGTAATCTACCACACTGAGAAGGTTAAAAGATTCCTTTTCACTTCTTTTTATGAACTGTTCTTCGATTTCCCACCTCTAGTTCTATGAATTTGTGTCAGCCAATCAATTGAGGTTCACACCTTGGACCATCTATGGAATTGAAAACTCTGAAATATGAACAAACCATCACTATTGATAGTAGTGGACTATTACGCGTGTTATTTGGGTTTTTGTGAGTAATTACTACAATAATTGCTCCGGTCCAAAATTTCCACAATTTCTTTTATTGGCTCCTTCTGTTTCAAATTGCAAACTTTCCATCATCGACGCAATTCACTTTAAAAGGATTATTGAGTTGAGCACACCCTGGACCATCTATGGAATTGAAAACTCCGAAATATGAACAATCCGTCACTATTGATATAGTATTAGACTATTACGCGTGCTATTTGGGTATTTGTGAGTAATTGCTACAATCATTGTACCTGTCAAAAATTTCCACAATTTCTTTTCTTGGCTCCATCTGCGTCAGACTTCAAACTTTCCATCATCGACACAATGCACCTTAAAAGGATTATTAAGTTGAGCACTAAGCCTAATCTTTAGTGCTCTTAACAAATTAATTAGGTTGAACAAATAATATATATATATATAATTATTTTTTTGGGAGGTTCAGGTTGGTATGGGAGATGGAATCAATCTGGGGATTCTTATGAGCCAAATTTCATGCATAGGTTTTGCTCCCTTAAAGGGACGAAAGCCACCTGGGCTCCAATTATGAGGCTGTCTTACCAACAGGTAGGCAAGGATGGCTAGATTGAAATGAGGATAGTTGAAAAAAGGAAAAAAAGAAAAAAAAAAAATTGAGAGGTTTCTAGGTGGTAAAACCAGAAAGGTTTTTTTTTTTTTTTTTTTTTTTGGGATACTTCTGATGATGAGACATACAAAATAAAATAACCCTTTTCTTCACAGTTCTCCATCTATCTTAGAATTCGAAGCTAAGACCAAACTCTCAACCAAGGGAGTGTCTCCAAGAGATGTAAAACCAGAAACAGAAAGATTGGCAAGAGAGAAATATCTAGACATCAATTATTGCGACTTGAAGCTGGACCTGAATTCTTACCAACCCAACAAGACTTCAGGCTCAAGTCCATAAACTGACTCGTATGAACTGCTCACTGTCGTTGAGGAGTTGGGGGCCTAAATAGGTTGTTATTATGGAAAATTCAAAAAAAAACTTTATAAAGAGAAAAGGCAAATATTACATTTAGTTCTCAATTTTTATTATAAATATTAAATATTATTTCAACCTTTCATTAAGATAAAAATGGTTTTCCACCTTTTTAGAATTGCCAAATTTAATTCTATTGTTAGTTAATCCTTTAAGTTTCTAATGGAAATCTTAACTAAAATTTTGGGAGGTTCAATAGAAATTTTTGTAAAATTTTTCTCTAAATTTTCATTGCTTTAAAATTATTTTTGCTAAATTTTGAATTCTTTAAACGCCTTAACTCTTTTCCTTTTTTTTTTTTTAAATATTCAAGAAATTCTTCTTTTGGCTTTGCTGATAAGGATTTATGTATATATAATACAGATTGGAATGCTATAATTTGAAATGAATTTTCATTTTATATTTTTTAATGTATTTTATAAAACAATAATTTAGATGACAAATAAATTATAATTGAAAATATCTTAGTTATGACAGTTATTATATTATTAAACTATTAAATTATGTCAAAAGTTTCTAACATTAAAGGGATTTGCATTAAGTAGAAAGTAAAAAACTGAAATATGATAATTGAAGTTTCCCGAAAGAAGAAAAAATGTATATACCTATACATATATATATATATAAGGTGCATCAATGTTATAAAAAATAAACTATATGTTTGGTGCTAGAAAGAAAAAAATAATTTAGCAGTTAATTCCTAGTAAGATTTTCTCTAAGAATTTGACAAGTGACTAACAATAAGATCAAACTGGGTAATTTTAAAAGGTTTAAAACCATTTTTGGTTCAAATAAAAGGTTAAAATAATATTTAGCATTTATAAAGTTAAAATAATATTTAGTATTTATAAAGTTAAAATAATATTTAGTATTTATGGTAAAACTTGAGAATTAAATCTAGCATTTATACTAACGAAAAAGATTATTTAAACTAAAATTTGGATCAAGAAATAGCAGAAGAATACCTAATTTCATCTTGTAGTAAAAAAACTCATGATGCTTAACAGAGCTATTCTGAATGAGTTTTCTCCGATATTACACAGCATACTAACCTCAATAGAACTATTGCACAGCATAGGAAACTCAATACAAAACCAAAGTTGAAAGAGAATGTCAAAACAAAATTGAACAGGAGCACAATGACATGATTGCTAACTTGCAGTGCTGGATGTGAACTATGAGTTATAGTCATCAAGGCCCAAATCTCTCAGCGCGTCCGTAGCAGCATCCTTGCAGCTTTGATGACTCTCCTTTGCCTTTCTTATAAACTTGTCAATGCCATTATTGAGTAGAAGAGTTCTGCACATTGAAAAGCCAGGTTCCAAAAATTATGATTCACTAATGAGGACATGAACCACAATATTACAAGAATTTTTAAAAGAGCGGATACCAAAGGGAAAAACTGATTAAACTGTAAATGCTTGATTGGATCAATAAAAAATAACAGTAAAGGGGTATTGAAATTCTATATTTGAATTTTGAAAAGATTAATTGTAAAACTTGCCTGTTTTCCGGGTTTCTCACAACAAGGTTCCGAATCATAAGACAGGAATTTCTCTGCATCTGTTGAGCAGCAGGAAACCTCTCCATGGCTTGGATGGCAAGGTCCCCTGCCCCTGCTTCAATGGCACAAGCTGCATTCTCCGGTGATCTCAAGCAGAGTACAGAAATAAGAGACATGACCTAACATAATGAGTAAAACAATTACTATCAACATAATAAACATATATGCTATGCACTATACAACTGAGGTACACTAGCAGTTGATCATTACAGTACTACTGGACACTACTTTCTTCCGGATTAAATTCAAATCAGATTGAACATCATGGACCCTGCTGATTAAAGACAGCATGTTATCAAAGAGTAGAGTTCTGGCACAATGCCATAACTGGGAATAGGTAACTGCATTATCATCAATATCCATCTCGGTACTACTCACTAAGCTGTTCTTGACAGAAGTATTAGAATTACTATGAATGGGAACAGTATGGACAAATACCTATATGACTTGCCCTCTTGCTTTATCAGACAGCATGGTCAGGCTCAACTCCCATGAAGGACCACCACAACCCATTTATGTGGGTAGGGGACGAATAGAGAATAGGGATTGAAACCTTTTG